TTTTTCCCCATATTTTTATATTCAGATTTATCGCTTTGTTCAACAATTGCTGCCTCGCAAGAATGACCACATTGCTTGGATCTGGGTTTATTTCAGGGGATTCCTTCTTCCTGTAATGTTACTCATCCAAAAATTGCTGCCTCTTTGTTTCTTCGTTGTTATCCTGGAACCTCTTGTTCAGGATTTGTAGCCACGGGTCAAAACTAGAACATCCAAAATTCTATCTTTCTCTCTTGTTCAGGCTTTGTAGCCATGGATAGGAACCAGAAAATTCAGAAACCAAAAAATCCAATTTGTCACTCTCACTCTGAATCTCCCACTTTCACTGTCACTTTCACCCCCAGTAATGGGGCTACTAGTTCGTTAATTTGTTTGTGTATTTCAACAAACATATACTCCGATGTATTCTCCTTAATTGTGGACTGGTTTAGAGTTTTGTGAATTGGGCCCTTTGCATACTTTTGTACATGTATTTTGCATTTGATTGTTAGAAGAATTCTTATTTATGTTATTGACCATTGTGATATTGTTTAGAGATTTGTTTAGATTAGTAAGTAAAATGAATTTTTTTTGAACATAAGTAAAATGAATTGAATTGATATGTATTATTGAGATCCCATGTAGTTGTTTGAGCTAGGGGTTAATTAGAGTTGTTCCTTGGATTGTCTATTGACAGCTTTGGAAGATGAGGTGCAGAGGGAGGTTTGAGGGCGTAAAAATGAATTCTCATGCTATTTTTTTGTTGATTCTCAATTGCTTGAGGCTTCAGGTTTTTGTTATAAAGATGCTGGCTGCTACAGGATAGATGTGAATTTCCTGCTNATGCTATTTTTTTGTTGATTCTCAATTGCTTGAGGCTTCAGGTTTTTGTTATAAAGATGTTGGCTGCTACAGGATAGATGTAAATTTCCTGCCTTCAGGAAGAGCATAGCTTTGGTGATGAATCCTTAGCCGAGAGTTGCAGCTGTATAAGGATCTAGAAAGGAGAGGTGCTTTTAGATTTTATTCTTTGTTGTATTTGGTTTGTAAGGGTGAGGTGAAGCTGATCCCTCTTACTTGTAATTTTTACCGAATGCAATAAAATCATTATTTCTAAAAAAAAATGTAATATTTTGTGATGAATTGAGTGTTTNTTAGATTTTATTCTTTGTTGTATTTGGTTTGTAAGGGTGAGGTGAAGCTGATCCCTCTTACTTGTAATTTTTACCGAATGCAATAAAATCATTCTTTCTAAAAAAAAATGTAATATTTTGTGATGAATTGAGTGTTGCACAATGCTCATAAAAAAATTAACAAAAACACAAAAATTTCGACAAAATAAGTATAATTTATTTTATGGAGTTGATTTTTTTTATTATATTACTATTTTCAAGTACCCATTCATCCTTATCAATGTTTGACACCATACTCACCTAAAGTTGGTATAGGGTTAGATTATATTTTTTTCTAAAGGGTGTAATGGTCATTTCATCAATTTTTATTTAGACATGTGGATGAGGTCCATAAAACAATTGTTCTCGATCCAACATAAGGATAGGATGAGCTAAGAATGAATCAACCCGGACTACTCTTCATTGGGTTGGATTGAATTCGGATTCAAATCCATTCCAACCCAATCCTCCCATGGGTACCCAAACACCCCCTCAGTCTTTCTGTCTCTGCAACTCTCTCTCCCTTTCACAATCTCACTCTCTACAACACGCGCGCGCGCATACACACACACACTCTCTCTCTATTCCTCCACCCCTGCTACATCGCCCTTCCCTTCATCACTGAACACACTATCCCGCCACCGACAACCCTTCCCTCCTCCCCTTTCCCCCTCACCACTGAATATCCCAACCCCAATCCCACCAAACATTTTTTAAATTATTTATGAGTTTTGAAAATATAGATTGAATCATAATTGAACCTCTCTTTGAACAACACCTTTTAGTGCTCAAGAAAACTAGTTTTTGCTTGATTTGTGCAAAAATTGGTAGAGACCGAGCTATACTCACTAGTTTTGGCTAGGTCGGTTTCTTGTTGACTTAAGAGATTAGTCGGGAAAAGGTCACGGAAGACAAACATAGAGCTCCTTTAAGCAGTCCTTCATGGTCACTCGAGTGATAGTCATGGTTGCTCGAGTGGTGCATGCCTTAGTTGAGATTGAACATGATTTTCATTCTAGCGACAACGGCCCTATGATTACTCTCCCACTGATTGAGCGGTAGTTTGCGAATCTGAGTTTTCTTATTTACTAAGACTGTATTTATTCCAGATCTATAATTTGGGAGAGCCTTTTCCACAGCTAGATTTCTAAGAGAGAAAATCATTTTTCTATCTTGAGAGCTTTCACCACAACTAGATCCCTAGACCTAAAGGCTATTACTAAAGATTCTATCCAACCTTGCAATTTGGTGTTGAAGATCTTGATAGTTTAAAACTAAATCCATTAGTGTGTGCAAACCGAGAGTCTTGGGTGTGAAGCCTTGAAGATTACTCGAAACCGAAATTAATCGTGCGGCGAATAGTTCAAATGAAGTTAGTCATAACGTTGAAGGAGGGCCTTTAGCGGAGAGATCTACAAAGAAAAGGAACATTTAGCCATGTGGATTGTTGATGTATAAGACTCGAGTACTTGTAGATTGATTTTTGTTTTAGTGAATTAGCCTTTGGTGAATCGAGAAGGTTCCCCGCGATTTTTTCCGAGAAGGGTTTCTGATTCTACAAATCACTTATGTTATTTATCACTTTTACATATACACTTGTGATTTGATGCACACATGCGCACTATATGTTTGCTGAATTGATTATTTGAATCTACATATCACATAAAGTTGTTTGATTGAGTTCGGATTGCCTTGGTTGGGAACACAGTGCAAAGTTAAGTGTTAATCAACAAATTGATAAAATCAATACACTAATCTACATGGGTGATTGAGTTGTGATGATTTAAAAGGGTTCTCACTTAAATTGTCATATCATTGTGAGAAGAAGTAATTGAGGTCGAATTGCGTTAAAATTGGTGTTTGTCTAAGTAAAATTTTCTAATAACATATTCACCCCATCTACATTTATTGTGCGATTCCTCATGTATAATCGAGTGAAAAGATCATACAAGTGAAGTGTTGTATTTTTCTTCACAATTGGTATTAGAGCAAGGTGTTCCTTGAATTGTGCTTAGTGTAGGCATTTATTGCATATTTGCCTAATTAACCTAGTTTTTGTGATTTGAGATTCATTATAACTACCGATTGGTTATTAATGGAGTCTCAAAAAGAATGATGTCCAATAGCACGACTGCCGCTCTTTGATGTACATATTATACATATTGGAAAGTTCGAATTAGGGCATTTCTAAAATTAATGGATGAGCGAGTGTGGTTGTATNATTTTAAATTAAAAAAAATATTTTTTCTATTTTAACTAGGGGTGAAAATTTTCAATTCAACACGATGACATGACTCGAACTCAACATGAATTTTACGACACGAACTTGAAAATGACCTGACACGCG